CTTTCGCTGGTTAATTGAAGAGAAGTCTTGCAGACCTTTCTGACTAGCTTGGCTTCAAACAGTGATCTTCAGATCTCTGACTCTGGAGTAGCTAGGATTTTAGGTAGGAGCTACTAGTGCCTGGTGGTTATCAATATACTTTTAGTTTTTCATTTTTATTTATTTATTTTGGTCAGTTGTGAGGCCTGAACTCTTGGCCTGGGTGCTGTCCCTGCATTCTTCAGCTCAAGGCTAGCACTCTACCACTTGAAACACAGTGCCACTTCTGGCTTTTTCTGCTTATGTGGTGCTGAGGAATCGAGCCCAGGGCTTCATGCATGCAAGGCAAGCATTCTACCACTGATCCACCTTCCCAGCCCTAGCTTTTTATTTTTGTAATATAAACCATCCCATATCAGCTTGATTTTAAAGTGTTCATAAATATTTCTCTGCTCTGAATTTTCAAATAGATTCTCATCATATACAAAGTCAGCCACATATGACTACCTCTCGTTTGCCCAATTTGTCATTCTCCTCAGTCAAACTAGTTAACTTCACGCTAATATATCCCTGCTGTCCTCAAAGCATTTTGGGAACATTCAGTCTCTAAGCACCTTTAAAATTTTCTTTCAAGAACATTCCTGCAGATACATTCTCAGTTGTCCTGTTAGTGATTAGCCTTCTCTTACCATTCTATTAGATAATGTGTCTCCCCATTCTTCCTTCATTTTCCATTTTAATCTTTTTCTCTGTAACACTTACCAACATTTCATATATACTTACTTCCTTTCATTTTCCCTTAATAAAGACTTGGTTTGCTTAGTTATCTGGAATGGCGCTTGGTGTATTATAGGTATCCAGTATTATTTGCCTGTATATGCCAGACATTTAAAATGTTGTCATTATTTCTTTTGCCTTTTTGTTTGTTGGTTGGTTGGTTGTGGGACTTGAACCCTGAGCACTGTCCCTGAGCTCTTCAGCTCAAGGCTATTGCTCTACTACGGGAGCCATAGCACCACTTCTGGTTTTCTGGTGGTTTATTAGCAATAAGAATCTCACAGGGCTGGGAAGGTGGCTTAATGATAGAGTGCTTGCCTTGCATGCATGAAGCCCTGGGTTGGATTCCTCAGCACCACATAAGCAAAAAGAAAAAAGCCGGAAGTGGCGCTGTGGCTCAAGTGGTAGAGTGCTAGCCTGAGCTGAAGAGCTGAGGGACAGTGCCCAGGCCGAGTTCCGGCCCCACCAAAACAAAAAAGTACAGACTTTCCTGCCCAGGCTGTCTTTCAACTGTGATCCTCAGCTCTCAGCCTCCTGAGTAGCTAGGATTACAAGTGTGAGTCACTGGCTCCCTGCCTTGCCTAACAGATTTTTTTAAATACATTTTTTATTGTAAAAAGTGTACAGAGTTGCCTAACAGTTTTAAGTTAGTATCATCAGATATTGTCTTCGCTTTTACTCATATTAAGTGAAATATATACTACTACTGTCTTCTAAAGCTTTGTATTTAGACTATATTATATGTCTATTATTTAAATAGATTAATAACACTTAAAAAATAAAACAAGGTTTAGCTGGGCACTGGTGGCTTGTGCATATAATCGTGGTTACTTGGGAGACTTAAGATCTGAGGATTATAGTTTGAAACCCACTCAGACAGAAAAAGATCATGAGACTCATCTCCAGTTAACCAGCAAAAAGCCAGGAATGTTAAGTATGGTTCAAGTGATAGCTTAAGGCCCTGGTTCAAGCCCTAGTACTGATACATACGTTAACCCTTTTAATTGGAGACCACTCATTCTCCCATGTCTAGTTAACCTGAAAGTGGAAGGCAGTAATGAAAAAAAAAATTTTTAGTGTTTTTTATTGTGAAAATACAGAGAGGTTACAGTCACATGAGCAAGGTAATGAGTATATTTCTTATCAAGCATTATTGCCTCTTCCTGTTTTTGCCCTACAACCCCCCCCCCCCCCCACATTAATGAAAAGTTTTGAACTCTTGCTCTTTCAAGGCATTTTTACCTGTTAAATGTTTTAAATGTTCTTTCTCCTTTGAAGCTTATACTTCCTAACTTTCTCATCTAATTTCCTGGCTTATTTCCCTATTTGGCATCAGTCATAAATTTGCCTCTTGCCAGCCACATTGATTGTCATCTTTACTCTGCACCAGCCATCCATACCCAGCTATGTTAGCTAAAATATGAGGTGTCTTACATTATAGCTCATTCTTCCAATAATCTGTTTGACCTTCCTGGCTCCTGTGCTTCTACTGATCATTGAGATATTCAGGTTTGTGACAAGTTTTGTTTTTTTTTTGTATTGAGGTTTAAATTTAGGGCTTCATGCTTGTTAGGCTTGTTTTACCACTAAGCCAGGCCTCTGCCCTTTTCTTAGTGGTTATTTTTAGGTAAGGGCCTTGCCTTTTACACCTATGTTTGCTTTTGAATTGCTGTCTGCCTACTTTTAACTTAGCTTCCTATAATTGCTGGGATAACAAGAAACACATACCACAATGTCCAGCTTTTTTTGGTGGAAATGGAATAGAATGGGCTTTTTCTGCCTGTAGACCTTGAAACCAGTGTTCCCAATCCCAACTTTTTTATTTGGTTTGGGATAACAGATGTGCACCACTATGCCCAGTTAAGTTGAAAAGGGGGCTTTTGAAATATTTTTCTGTGTGCTAGCCTGAAACTTCTATCCTCTTGTTGTCAGCCTCCCAAATATCTAGGATTATTGGTGTGAGTAACCAGCGTTTGTGACCATTTTTCTTCCATGTTCTCTTTATTCCTCTCCTAGAGAACAGCAAATGCCAGTCTGTGCATGCGCATCATTACTGATTCAAAGAGCTCTGTAATTCAGCTTTAAAGAATTTCAAGTAGTCTGATAATAAACCAGGTTTAGGAACTCCAGCTATGCTTGTCAAAACTGTTCTTTGATTCTTACTTTTTCAGTATGTTTCTTTTTGTCCTCTACCTCTACTGGAAGTCTGTCACTGAATCTTGCAGGAAAAAGACCTACACTTACATATATACAACTACTAAACCAGTCTCTAATGTTAGCCATCTCCTTTGTTTTTCTGGCTACTGCTTAGTAATCTCTCTATATTGTGTTCAGTAGCTTTTTAAAAGTAGATTTTAAGGTCATAAACTGTGTTCTCATTAAATACTCCATAGTAGAAAACTTAAGTATTTCTAAATCATGAAGAGTTGAGCCATGCTAGCTCAAGCAGTTCTCATGTTCATGTGCTGAGCAGCTCATTCCTTTTGCACATTAAGAATGTGAAATCCTGTGATAAGAATTGTGATTTTCACACTATTTTGTACCTTTAATGATAAAACTTGACAGATTACCAGAGAGCTTTCTTATTTATATTTTTAGGCATTTAAATGTAGATGAATTTACTTAATGTAATAAAATCTAATTGGTGATGTATGGTAAACTGTGGTTCAATCTTTTCCTTAAAAGCAGTTGAAGTTAATGTTGTTGAGGTTCACAGTTAAATTCATTTTATCATTTAACTTGAAGCAGCTTTACATTATGCATACTAACAAGATTTACATTTTGACCAGACCGCTAGTAATATCACTTTTCTCTTTTGATAAGATTAAAGCCATCGGCCAGACAGAATTGAATGCAAGCAACCCAGAAGAGGTATTACAGCTGGCAGCACAGAGAAGGAAAAAGAAGTTCCTCCAAGCAATGGCAAAACTTTACTTTTAAGCATTTCATTAAAAATTTTTAACTTTTATTTTTTAAACAGTGGAAGCAGTATTAAAAGATTAAGTTTATATAATACATATGTACACAGTGGTGGTTTTTTTTCAGACAAAATACTGAAACATACTAGTTTAAAAACAAAAACTATACAGAAGATTTCATACCATAACAATAGCTTAAATTTACAATTTCTTCAAAAGAGTCAAGTCACATGTCTAATAACACTAGCAATCTAGTATACTATTTTTCCTAATTCTAGTTTATGTGGCTAAAATTCCTTTAAAAATGGTTAATCTAGAACATGTCTGAATAAGTAACTAATGTATATACAGCAAGTTTAAATAAATAAATTTCTGTGGGATATTTTACTGCCTTAAGAAAAATAACTTTAGGTTGAGTGTTAAACTTTTATCACTTTTGATACTAGTTTTGTCTCATAATGCAGGAATTTAAAATGGATCTTAACAGTTTTGCAAACAAAACCATAGCCAAATAAAAATTCTTAGGGATGTCTTAAGAGTGATAAAGTGACATTCTCATATAGTTTGAAAAATTACTTGTTTTTTACCCAAATTATGATGCTCAAAAGAATATTATTATAAAGCAACCTATCTGCCAAAGCCCCAGTAGGAGCCAAAGCATTTTTAAATTTTCTTTGGTTCTTCCCCTATTTAGAGCAGTTTAAACATCAGGTTCATCCAAAGCCATACTGATTAAAAAATGTTACTGCAAGGTAAATAAAGTAGCTTACAAACAGATTAAATCTCACCATTTGTGTAAATTCAAGTTTTATCATAGCTTGTTACAGCACTTCTGATAAATTAGTCACCTTATTACAAAATAAATCTTTGTAAACAAGTTTAAATTTTATTTTCAGTAAGCAGATTGCACTAGTCAAGAAGATAGGAATTCTGAGAATCTTAAAAGCGAGGTTCAAAGTATTGTATTACTTACCTACCCTTGTAAGGTAGCAGATGTCTAGTCCAAAACTCCAATGATAAAATTCCTAGTTTATCAAGATAAATGTAGTAACACTGGATTCCCAAACAAAAACCCACAATTGACATGGCATAAATTGTGGCAGGCTTCAATTCAGTAACCTTGTGAATGAAGTCTTTTGTAAACAAGTCCTGCTGTTTTAACAGCTAATTCAGAAAGTAAATTTCTTTCGTGCCCGTTTTAAAATCAAAGTAACAGCGGTATAACTTTTAAATTGGCAATCACAGCACTAGTTTCCTATAATTCTTTAGTTCAGATGTATGAAATTCTGCCCAGTACTTGGTCAGTTCCAACTTGTTTGCTTTAACAACTTTAGTGTTTTCCTGGTGGTTTTTCGGTGCTCTTCGGTGGTGTCATAATGCCTCCATTGCACACTGGTGACAACTGTCCTCCTTTTCTGAAGGTGTTTACATAATTTGCTTCCTCCTACATATGTATAAAAATAATGCAGCAATTAGTAGCTAAGATAATGTAAGGACGAAGTAAAATAGTCAAGCCAGACTTGGTAGTTGACTAGTCAGGCCCAATGCAATGGTCTCTGTTTTTGCAACTATGGATAACAGCCATATTCTAAAGGTTCAATAGTTTGAACCGCCTAGAACATTGTATGTTGTGTATTTTAACCTCTATGACATTGGATCTCCTGAGTCTTGATTTAACATGAAAGCAATTTTATTCACATTTTGAAATCAGTGTGCCCATCCTTTCCCTTTCTCATCATAGTATACTATTGTATAGTACATTCACTGTCTCAGGACTTGATAGCGAGGCCAAAACCAAGAAAACCCTACAAAAACATACCAGCAGAGCCAAATAGTTTGTATGCGTTTGGATATTATGTCTGTCTTCCATAGGTATCTTCTTAAAAGTCTTCAGTTTCACTGGACTTGTACTTTTTACCACACTGACAAAAGGCACCATCCAGTCTACACATTCTGAGATGCTGTCCCATTCCAAACCTAGATTTTAAGTTAGGGAAATAGAAAGGTTATACATCAGAAACTTCTCTTACATAATGCCTAATGTACTTGGCTTCTGCTCCCCAATTTTAAGAAACATAAAAATCAATACATTTAGTCAATCACAACAGATTTACTCTCAAGTAATGCATGACCATCTTAAAGGGCAAAAGAACTTTACTAACTGATATTCAACAAATAAAATGGAAATGATTGAATCTTAACTTGTAAAGCAGAACTATAATTGTGTGGCTTCATTCCAGGTGCATTTTACATACCACTTGGCCTAATTTGTTTATGATGATACATTAAGGATTATAAAGTATATCTAACAGAAAGGAAGGTGATCACTAATCTCTAAAATTGTTAAATTCATATTTGGCAAGCTTTAGTGTATAATCATATTAGAAGTTGTGAACAGATAAGCCTTACCTGAGGCTTTCTTAACCACTTCAATGGAGGTAAAATGGCATAAGGCAGCAGCAGCCAATATACTGTACTGGAACTCTAATGAGTCAATGGATAGAATACACAGATCTAAAAGCTAATGAAAGGAAAAGCAAAATATAAGTAATTCAGGAGGATAAGCACTACAAGCCCTAGCTTTCCTTCATTCTTTATCCAGAGGCAGCTAGAGATGGCTAGATGAAGTCATAAAGGGCCTTTAGGATGAACACTACTTTATGGGCTGATTATTCAAACAACTAAAAGATTTTAAATCTAAGAAGTCTAGATTTCAAGAAATACACTTTAGACTAGAGTGGAGCACAAACCAGAATGAAACAGTCTTTGCATAAGTGAGACTGGTTAAGTAGTATTAAACAACTGAGCAAGTAGCAGTAAAATGGTACAAAAGGGTTAAGATTTGTAAAGTTTGGGTTGATACCTTCCTAGTGATACAAAACTTAATATTTAAATTCCATAGATTATAGTCCAATTAGAAGTTGGGACTCGATCAGTGGGGACTGGTTCAGAATGGAGAAGAAAGTTGTAAGTGAAATCTTGTATTCTGGAACAAGAAGGCATGCCAGGTGCTGCTGGCTCACACCTATCAGAAGGCTGAGATCTGAGAATTGTGTTCAGAGCCACCCTGGGCAGGAAAGCCTCTGAAACTCATCTCCAGTTAACCACCAAAAAGCTAGAAGTGTCACCCTTGCCCCCCAATTTTTTTTAATATTTGCATACAAATAATGAGACACAAGGTAAAACAGAATTCTGGCTTAATGCCAGTGGCTCACATATGTGATCCTGGCTTCTTTGGAAGTAGAAATCAGGAAGATTGTGGTTCAAGGCCAGCCCAGGAAAGAAGCTTACAAGACCCCATCTCAACCACTAAATGTTATATACCTGTGACCCCAGCTAAACAAGAGACAAAGAGTTTGGGGGAATCATGGTTTCAGGCCAGCCTAGGCAAAAAAAGTGTAAATAGGTTTGTGCTCCACACTGACCTGGACAAAAAGTGAGACCATGCATTAAAAATAACCAAAGCAATGCTGGCTGCCCATGGCTTAGACCTGTAATCCTTGCTACTCAAGAGGCAGATCTGAGGATCACAGATGCCAACATAGACAGTAAGTTTGAGAGACTGATCTCCAATTAACTATGAAAAAGCCAGAAGTGTAGCAGTGGCTCAAGTAGAGCCCAGGCTTTGATTTAAGGCCCTGGTACTGGCACAAAAAAAGTTTTCATGTAGTGAGCATACCATTTTGTTATGTAGTATAGTTTGAAACTATACACTAGACATCTTGAATTAACATCAGCATATATTCAAGAACAGTATCAATACCTGGGCTATTTGAATGAATGTTTCCTGAGAATACTGAGGTAGAAGAACTTTAGGAGCATCTTTAACAGCATCAATTTGTAGAAAGAGATTTAACCAGGAGATGACTGTTACAGGACAAAGTTCCCACTTTAAAGCCTGTTAATAAAAATTTAAAATGCCTGTTAATGAACGTACACATATATCACATTATAGAATAGGGGTTAGAGGGTTAAATAAATTTCCCTCCCAGCCATAGCTAACATAACTTTTTCTTGGTAGTACTGGGTTTGAACTTAAGGCCTTCCATTTGCTAAGTAGGCAGTCTGCCATTTGAGCCTATTGCCAGTTCTTTTTTGCTTTGGTTATTTTCAGAATCTTGGGTTTTCCCCCCAAGTCAACCTCAGACCACCATCTTTACATAGTCTCCCTCATATCTGGGACTATGGTACATACCACCACACCTAACTTGGTTGAGATAGGAGTCTTGCTAATTGTGTCAGGGCTACCTTTTAAACCACGATCCTTTTGATCTCCTTTTGGGTGCTAATATATTAAAATCTTAGATTTGACTGTAATGTATATAGTATTTGAGGTTCAATCCTAACTACTGTTATTAAGTACGTAACTACTAAGTTGCAAGTAGAAATAAGTACTCAATTACTACCTTCAAAATAGTGAGTTCCATCCTTAAGATATCATCTTCACTGCAAGCACCATCAGTGACATAAGCAAACTCTTGGAGTTTTGGAGCGTAGATTTCCTTTAAATTGGAATTTTTAAATTAAGCACAGTTGTGATACAAACCATAGAAAGGTATCAGAGTCTTAAAGATAGCTTCACAAGATAAGAAAGTCCAGTAAAATACTTCTGTAGCAGAAAAGTTATTTTTCATGCCTTGTATCTAAACTGGCAACTGTATGTATTACTGAGCCTCATTTTCCTATTACTGATTTTGAATCTTAGTTGTTAACAAACATATAGTATCTTAACCATTTCTTTCAGTTAGAAAACAAACTTGGTTTAATATTGCCTAGTAAGAGTCTCAGGAGTAGAGTGTTGCCAAGCATGGGCAAGACCATAGCTTTAAATTCTAACTACCACAACAACAACAAAAATTCTTTGTATATTTTGGCTGATGAGACTTATGTCTGGGAAGTTCATAAAGTAACCAGAATGGTCAAAGGATTAGAAGAGAGAACTGTCACATATTATAACAGGCTAAAGATAAATCTCAAAACATATTTGGAAGGAAAAAAAACACTTCAGACTATTAATACAATCCTTCTCCCACCCTCAAAATGATGCCAGCTGCAAAAAGTACTATTGCTATTCATAATGTATTGTTAAAGCAAAGTAGAAGATGGTTATCAGGAAGGAAAGTCTTAGGCCAGAGAAGAGTTGCCATTAGGCAGATGACACCATTAGATAGACATTAAGTTGGACAGACCATTATTCTAACCCAACAGAGCACTTATTACATTTGATTGTTTTTTTAGAAACTGTTCTTTTGAACCCAAGAGCTATAATTATGTGAATAGACAGTACTGTTAGCTTTTTTTTTTTTTTTGGCCAGTCATGGGGTTTGAACTCTGGGCCTAGGCGCTAATTCCTGAGCTCTTTTTGCTCAAGGCTAGTGCTCTACTATAACTCTACCACAGTGCTACTTCATTTTCTGGAGGTTAATTGGAGATTTTGCAGCCTCCTAAGTAGGTAGGGTTACAGACATGAGCTACTACTGCCCAGCAATTGATACCTTTTGTTTGGCAGAATATACCATAGAATGAACATTTTACCTAGATATCAATTCTAGACTTAAATAAACCAAAGATTTTCTTTTCTTTCTTTCTTTTTTTTTTTGGTGCTAGTTTTGGGGCTTGAACTCAGGGCAGGGGTGCTGTCCCTGGGCTTTTTTGCTCAATGCTAGCATTATCCCACTGGAGCCACAGCTTCACTCTGGCTTTTGGTGGTTAACTGGAGATAAGAGTCTTATGGACTTCCCTGCCCAGGCTTGCTTCAAGCTCTGAATCTCCTGAGTAGCAAGGATTAAAGGCATGACCCACCAGCACCAGGCTCTAAACCATTAAGTTTTCTCAAAGTGTACTAAGGGACAGAATCATTTACCTTTTCTAAGAAGTTACAAAATGATAAATTCCACTAGGATTACTATGTTGATTTATAAAAACCCAGTTTCAGATGAATGTGTCTATAAATGAAATTTAAAAACTTACCTCAAGTTTGGAAGCAATGAATAATGAGGTAATTCCAATGAGTTGAAGTGTATTCTTATTAATATCCTTTTGTGTCAACATAAATCTATCAAAAAAATCTTGTGCAAGATAAAATGTTTCCCTATGAACTGTGTATACTTCACATACCTAAAGAAGAATCCAAGTATTTAAATGTTATCCTCAGAATTTCTCCAGATTTGAAAATCCTTTCACATACCAGACATTAGAAAACATTTAAGCCGAACTTTGCCTTTTAGTATGCCAGAGTATGAGACAGCGGAAAAAAACTATAACGATAGATCTATTGCCATCTTGTTGTTTTATAATTTTTTCACCTTTTTACTTCAGTTACTTTTCATATTTTACTGCATTGGCTAAGACTATAAAATACATTGACAACAAATCTTATCTTGTCTCTCATTTCTGACTTTACAGGGAATTCTCCTAATGTTTCACTATTAATAATAATAGTGTATGTAATGTATGTTTTTTCTACACTGAAAGATCTCCAGAGCCAAGAAGGGAAACAACTCTTCTCAGAATAATTTTCCACAAAACTGGTGCTATTATCCACTTTTTTGAAGATGAGGAAACAGGACAGAAATATGAGTTTCTAATAAACTATGTTAAATCCTTTAAAAAAATTTTCTTGTTGCCAGTCCTGGGGCTTGAACTCAGGGCCTGGGTGCTGTCCTTGGACTTCTTTGTGCACAAGAGACCACTTAGGCCACAGCAGCACTTCTGGCTTTTTTTTTTTTTTGAGTAGTTTATTGGAGATGAGTCTCATGGGGACTTTTCTCCCTGGGCTGGCTTCGAACTGCAGTCCTCAGATCTCAACCTTCCAAGTAACTAGGAATACAGGCATGAGCCACTGGTGTCCAGCAAACTACATTAAATCTATTCCAAGCTCACTACATATTTTAAAATGAATGAATGTTGAATTCCAGAAAGACATCTTTTGCATCTACTGATATTCGCATTTTTCTCAAGCTGTTAAGGTAATAAACTAGTATTTTCAAATATTCATTTATCTTTGCATTTCCAGGCTGAAAAAATATTAAGACAAAGTATGATTTTAACACTTAAATTTATTATATTTTGTATGGTTTTGCATAGACAGTCATATTTAGAGAAAAGCAGAAAACACTGGATAGGACAATCACTAGGCGTGCAGGTCAGCATTATATTATATTGTTCTTGTGTTTAATCTCCAGGACCAAGAATGAAAAATGGCAAAACTAAAGCATCTTCATGACTACTAATATATAATTATATAATTTTTAGGATATTATGTAGTCTTCAACAACTTTCTCGTAGAAAGGAAACAGTGCCTGAGGGAAAATGCTAACACAGATCTATAGGGATTTCAGGATTACTGTTATTCCCTTAAGTTAGTATAATGTATTTCCAAAAGGAATACGAATGAATATATATTATACAAGGAACCTACACAGAACCTAGATGGCTTAAGACCTGTGAGTATCCAAACTTATGGTTTAGAGTATAGAAATTAGATTCATAATTTGATTTTGGTAAAATAGAGGAGGAAATATGAAAGCCCCAAATCATAGTTTCTTTGTACAGCAGTATTCAAAACCTATTCATCTTTACATGCCTTTCTTTTTGAATAACCTCATCACCTAAAACAAAGACCAGTACACAGCAATAGCCACACATAAAGGAACTGAGTTTGGAAAAAAAAAAAAAAAAAATATATATATATATATATATATGTATATATATATAGACTGTGTCCTAAGGATTTTACTGTTTTGTTTTGGTGATAGGAATTGAATCCAGGGACTCTTGCTTGTTAGGTGTACACAGACTTCCATTGAGCTACTTACACCTCTAACTTTTGATTTTACTCTTAAGATCATCACCATATTCCACTTTTTGGAGTACTGTCAGTAAGTACTGACAGTTACTTGCTGGTAATGGACAAAATACCCGGAGGGTACATGGGAAGCATAAAAGCTGAAAATATCTAAGTGTTTATCCATAATATAAAATAAATTTTTATTGCTGGAACATACCTCTAAAAGCCAGTCTAGAAGAATTGACCTCATCTGTGGTTCCAAGTCAGAATGTAAAACTTCAAAATGTTTGTCATGAACATACCGGCTCTCCTTTTGTAACATGTTTAGCCAAACCTCCTTTGAACATCCCCAGCTATAGAAAAAGGGGAAAAATGTCATTTAACTTCTGTAGTCTACTCAGTACATTAGCTGTTTACACAGTATAACTTTCTCAGATATGTATATATTTTTTTTGTCAGTTGTACGGCTGCAGCTTGAACTCAGGTCCTAGGTGCTATCCCTGAGCTCTTTTGTTCAAGGACAGCACTCTACCACTTTGAGCCACAGCTCTACTTCCAGTTTTCTGGTGGTTAATTGGAGATAAGTGTCTCACAGACTTTCCTATGCTGGCTGGCTTTGTACCACCATTCTTATATCTCAGCCTCAGTAGCAATGTGAGTCACCAGCACCTGGCTTAACTCTTCAGATATTAAAATTCAACTTTCAATTAAAACTTGGAAACAGTATATCTTACCATCAGAAAAAGATTTCTTAAAAAAATTTTTTTGACAGTCATGAGGCTTTAACTCAGGTCCTGGGCACTGTCCTTGAGGTATATTGCTCAAGGTTTGCATTCTGCCTTTTGAGCCACAGCCCTAGTTCCAGGTTTTTTGATGCTTAATGGAGATAAGAGTCTCACAGACTTTCTTGTGTGGACTGGTTTTGAACAATGATCCTCAAGCTGTCAGCCTCCTGAGTAACTAGGATTACAGGTGCGAGCTCTATCTTAATTTTTTTTTTGGGGGGGAGGGGAGGTCTGGTCGTGGGGCCTGAACTCTGGGCCTGGGCGCTGTCCCTCAGCTCTTCAGCTCAAGGTTAGCACTCTATCACTTGAGCCACAGCGCCACTTCCGGTTTTTTTCTTTTTGCTTATGTGGTGCTGAGGAATTGAACCCAGGGCCTCATGCATGCAAGGCAAGTGCTCTACCACTGAGCCACCTTCCCAGCCCCTCTATCTTAATTTTTAAAAGCCATTTTTTTTCCCTTGAGAAAACAGAAGCCTGAGGCTTGTGAATCTTCAAATCCTTATGGATTTGGACATCTTGGGACTATGACCATTTATATTGGTAAATTGAGAATGCTTTGACATCTCCCTTTTGTTGTTGTTGTTAATACCAGGGTCTGACAAATGCTTGGTTTGTTTGCTTGGCTGGTGTTCTAGCACTTGAATCACAACTCTAGCCCAGCTTTTGCTTTGTTTTTTGCCAGTCCTGGGACTTGAACTCAGGACCTGGGCACTATTCTTTAGCTGCTTTTGCTCAAGGCTATACTACACTCTACCACTTGAGCCACAGAGCCACTTCTGGCCTTTTCTGTTTATGTGGTACTGAGGAATCAAGCCCAGGGCTTCATGCATGCTAGGTAAGCACTCTACCACTAAGCCACATTCCCAAGCCCCAGGTTTTTTTGTTTTTTTTTTGTTACTGATTTTTTTTTCATCAGTTGTGGAGCTTGAAGTCCAGGCCTGGTTCCGCTCAAGGCTAGCGCTCTACCATTTTGAGCCACAGTGCTACTTCTTGTTATTTTACAGATGGAATCTCCAAACCTTTTCTGCCCAGGCTGGCTTTGAACCTGCATCCTCTGGATCTCAGCCTGAGAAGCTAGGATTACAATCAGAGCCACTGGCTCCTGGCTTCTCTTTTATAATTTGTACAAAAGTTTTGTCATCGACAACATTAAACTTTAATATTTAAAGCATATGATCTCAATGAAGATAAGTATGAACAGATCATCAACAGCAGAATCAATATAAGTAAAGTGGAAAAGAATTTAGGGGAGCCGGGTGCTGGTGGCTCACGCCTGTAATCCTAGCTACTCAGGAGGCTGAGATCTGAGGATCATGGTTCAAAGCCAGCCCAGACAGGAAGGTCCGTGAGACTCTTATCTCCAATAAACCACCAGAAAACAAGAAGTGGTACTGTGGCTCCAGTGGTAGAGTGCTTGCCTTGAGCCGAAGAGCTGAGGGACAGCACCCAGGCCCAGAGTTCAAGCCCCAAGACCACCACCAACAAAAAAGAATTAAGGGAGAGCTAGGTGCCAGTGGCTCATGTCTGTAATCCTAGCTACTCAGGATGCTGAGATCTGAGGATTGTGGATCAAAGCCAGCTCGGGCAAGAAAATCCATGAGACTCTTCAATAAGCTATTCAGAAAAAGCCAGAAATGGTGCTGTGTCTCAAGTGATAAAAGCACTAGTGTTGACCAGAGAGAGGCTCAGGGACAGTGCCCAGACCCCTAGTTCAAACCCCAGGACTGGCAAAAAGAAAAAAAGAATTTAGGGGAGTAGAGCTTAAGCACTTAAATAGATGATTCCACTATTTTTCTTATATAACTCTATTTACTACACTACCTGTCTTGTAACACTGGCCATCATATCCATGGACTAGAAAAAAAAATATGTTGTAGTAAACTTGGTAAGGAATAGAGCTGACAGATCAGTAGAAAATACTGTCATGTTGTCTTTGTAGAAAAATTATTTAAATGCTATTGAAGAAGTGAGTTTTACTAAAGCTATAGTACTCAGTAAACAAATGAAAATATTATAGAATCAAGGTTTCAGGTAACCATATTACTTGCAAATAGCTCTACTCTCAAAATGATTTGATAAAGGAAGCAAGTTTTTGCAAGTTTCTCTATTTTTATTACTAAGGTAAAAGATAACACATGGCACTATTTTGTCTTGTCCAACATTTTCATCATTAAACCAATTAATTGCTGAAATTATTCTTACCTTAATTCTGGCAAAGGTGAAGGATTAATAAAAAGATTTTTAAATCTGTAGTTTGTGAATCTGGAGAAGTCACTTGTTTCTATTTCTTTATGAGGTGTTTCAATGATAATACAAGGACTGATTCCGCCAGATAATACAGGTGGCCAACAATTCTGAGATTGAAAAAAAAAAAGACATATATTGGTACAATAAGAAACTTTACCTTTTGTCTAGGTTTTTCATAAATGAAAGCTAGTATTTCCAAACAACCTCTTAGAAGCTTACAATCTAGCTAATTTTACATTCACATTTCATTTTAAGAGCCATACAGCTTTTGTGTTTGTGTGTGCTGTTACTCGGGCTTGAACTCAAGAGCCTGAATGTTGTCCCTTAGCTTTTTTTGCTCAAGTCTGGTGATCTTCCACTTGAACCACAGCTCCATTTGAAAGTTTTTGTGGTTAGCTAGAAATAAGAGTCTCCATAGACTTTACTGCTTAGGCTGGCTTTGAACAGCAATCCTCAGATCTCAGCCTTCTGAGTAGCTAGGATTACAGGCATGAGCCATTGGCACTAGGCTCATATAGTTCATTACTGATCTTCATACATGTTTAGACAACAAAATACAATTTTGGTAATATGCGATATCAAAAATTAAAGGAGAATAACAAAAATGCACTTGTAATATAAAATACTAATCACTTTAAAGGAAAAAGAAATTGCAAATATTAAGAAATATTAACAAGGTCATTTTTGAAAGACGTTCTTAAGTTAGGCTTTTCCAATGTTTGAGGGCAAATTTTAAAAATGGAATCAATGCTTACAGGACCCTTACTTTAATAATTTTGGTTTCTGAACAACACATAGGAAGAAAAGGTAGCAAAGGGCTTGATGCCAAACTGTCAGTGATCACACATCCTATTTATGCCAAAGCAGCTATTAGGACCCACTACTATAGTCTGAAAGGGAACAAAGAGCAGTATATTGGACAGATTAGGCGGGCCCTGGTACACCAGACTGCTCTAAGAGGCAGGGATTTATCAAAAGGAACTAGCTGCTGTAGCAAACTTACCCTACAGCTGTAGTAGGATTCATGCACTTTAAAAAAAAAAAAGAAACCCTCTTTCCTTCTGACCTCTGGGGCAATAAAAGTATGAATGTCAGGGTAACCTATGTACTGCAGATCATTAGACACAATTCTAACTCTTATTCACTTTCTCCTTCATTGTTTCTCCCCAAACCCACCCAGCCCTGATCTGCATTACCCTAATCTCATACTGATGTTTCTTGGTGACCTGCTCCTCTTTTCTCTTTTTGACATCCTGGAAAATAGAAAAGACCACTTGGTAAACTAAGGTCCCAATAAGGAACCCCCTCCTCTCCTTCCCCCCTATTTCTTTTTAAATCACCTGTGCTGTTTTTCTCTTCTTGACCTGGAAGATCTGGGCTTCTTGGGGGGAGTCAGATTGTCTGGGCTGGGCTTGCTGCTTAGCTTGTAAACGGCTACTGTGGTGAATTTTTAAGAAGGAAGTTTAGTTAGTCACAGGTTTCAAAAGCAGCACTTAATTTTGAAACATCTTTTCAAGACAAGACAAATAATGTTACCTGCGTCTTGACATTCTTTTCTTTTAGGTGTTTGAAGCCTCTGAATGGGAAAGAAGAAAAAGACTAGTTAAGTATTTTGTTAGCCATATTCTCCGAGTGCAGATGAGAGCTGATTCAGAGAGGTTACAGCCAAAGCCCCTCAGAAGGTGGCCTGAGATGTCTTCTGCACTCTGTTATCTCATGGTAATTAATTCATTTGCTCATATGCCAGCATTTCCTCAAATAAATGGACACCTGGGAAGCGAGGCTCTCCAGAAATGTACAGAGTACCCTGAACCCACCGAGAGAAGCAGGTTTCCCCTAAACGAGTTTTTCTGGTCTTCCACCTTTCCTCCCCGGTCGACTCAGAGGGGACGAGGGCAGCGCGCCCACGTTCCCACCCCGGGTCGCGAACGAGCGGCTGAGCGGGGGGTGGCGGAGGCGAAAGGCTGAGGAGAAGCCGGTTCCGCGCCAATTTGGAGAGCGGCGGTGGCGGGGAGGCAGGGGGCGGAGGAACAGGCGGGTGTCACGTCCTCCAGGCTCCTTTCCCTCCTTCCCGGCCACCCCGGGCGCCGCCGCCCGCCATCCGCTGCAGGGCGCGGGACCCCCAACTCCAGACGGGGCTGGGGGCCAGGGAAGGAGAAGAGTCCAAGAAAGGGCGCTGGGCTGCTGAGGACTTTTCTCCCGGTAAAGGGAGAGAGACTCCATCCTTTCCCCCACGAAAGAGCTCCCCAAGTGCGAGTAGGAGAAGCCCCCGGATGAGGAGCTTTTCCGTGGCTTCTCACTTGGGGAGACCCCCCCCATCTTCCCCCCACGTCGCCTCCCGGTTCCCTGCCCGGGAAGGAACTCGGGGACCCATTACTCCCGATCACCTAGTTCTCCACATTCCCCCCTCCTTTTTTCCCCCTCTGTCTCCCAAGACTCCCGCCCATGGGGTGGATGGAATGGCCCAGTGGGGCTCCCTTTGCTCTCGCATCGCCCCCCGCCCCAAAACCCAGCTCCCACTCACCACCAGACCCGCTACAGTACAGTACAGCTCAGCTGGCGCCGGCGCCAACCCAATATATAGGCCGGGCCAGGACCGCCCCGCACGCATGCGCCACAGACTGACACCTCCGACAGCGCGCTCCCCTCCCCCGCCCGCGCGCCCGTCCTACCCGCCCGCGCGCCGCGCCCTGCCCTCAGTGTGCGCCGGCGCGCCTCGCGGCGCTGCAGAGCCCGCGCGCCCAGGCCGCCTCTGCGCTCCGCTCCGCCCGCCGGCCCGCCTGCGCGCTCGCGCGGTCGCGGGGAGGCTCCACCTCAGGGGCCGGCTCCCCGCCGCTCGGCTCCCGCATCTCCCGCCAGTTCGCTCCTGTCTCCTCCCACTAACCCACCAGTCTCTGAGAGGGTGTCAAGATTGAGGTTTAGCCCGGCGCCAGGCTCTCGGGAGGTGACTCAGACGGACAAAGAGTGGCCTGGAAGTGGCCACCCCGGGGTGCGCTCTGCTGTCCCGCCAAGGCCTTGGGGAACCCTAGTCTTTCCCCAGAGACGCGGGGACCACACGGCCCCGCCCCCTGGGGGCGGAGCGAGGTTTCGGCTGACAAGCCGACCAATGGCAGGCGAGGACGGCTGCACAACGTGGAGTAGGCGCGGAATGTAAACACAGCCTGGGCTCTCAGCGGACCTCGTGCGTTCCGGGCGCACGGCCGCTCGGAACCGCTGGCGCCGGAGACTGGTCGGAGCCGGTTCCGTCGTCCCGCGGGGGACCTCACTCGGGACGCCTTCCTCAGCCCGCCATTCCAGGTAAATCCCATCCTAGTCCTTCTGTCCTGCGCTGCTTCGCTGGCCGCGTCATCCTCTCGGCGGACGGGTCACTCCTCCGGCCCGCCTCCCTCCTCCTGCCCCATAGCCTCCACCCCGCAGGCCCCGCGCGGGAAACCTTCGCGCCTCGCCGCACCCTTCCCTTGACCCTCTGCAGCCGCCAACGCACGGGTCCTGAGGGTGAAACTCCTCAGCATTCGCCATCCCCACGGGTGCAGCGGGGCCCTCGGAGGGCCCGGCTGCTCGGGGGAAGCTGTCGCTGCCACGTGCGGATTCCGAGCTCGCGGGGCTCCGCCCCGCCGCCTGCGCGCCCTGCGGAGCCCGCGCGAGCCGCCGGCGCGCCCTGCGGAGCCCGCCCGACCCGCCTGCGCGGGAGGGAGCCGCCCGCCTCCGAGCGTGCACGGCGAGCGGCCAGCCCGCACCGCGTGTTTTAAGTTTAGGGATCTCCTAGCTGACTCCTCGAACGTCAGCGCCCACGGGCGCCATCGCACAACTCAAGTGGGGCTTGCGGGGGATACTCCGCAGACTGGTTTTGTGGCGGGAGTTAGCTCCCAGAACAAAGCTCCCGCCCCCGTGGCGGGGGGCGGGGGCGGAGGAGCCCGGACCTGGCTTCCTGGGATGGCCTGGGCCGGGGGCGGGCCGAGCTGCGACTCTGAGCCGACCCCGGAGAGCCCGTAAGGAAGGGCCAGGACTCGAGCCGCTTGCGCCGGCCAGGGCGAGTTGCATCCCGGATGGCCCGCCAGACCCACCCGGCTTCACTCCCAGGCCATTTGTGCTGTGTCGCTCCTGAAGGACCCAGAACCTAGAAAGAACCAGTGCTTTTCTGATTTTCGAGCAAAGTCCATTTTCACACTTGCTGTTTCCATCCTTATGACAGTCTAATGACACCAGCCAAAGAATTTGTTTCCTAATTTATTCGTAAGAGCTTTGCTTAGGATGACATGTAATCTGAAGAAAACATATCTTGTTACCCCCAGGGTCTTCATACATTTATCCTCGTTATGGCTCCGTGTAAGGTAGGAGTCTGCCTCTTTTGCAGCCACTCAGAACACTGTCACCTTGTAAAGATTAGAGATCTATCTTTGATGGGGAAGATGGGGTGCACTAAGGGGTAGGTGTGTTGTGTTGTCTTGATCTTTAAAATATACTGAAAACTAAACTAAAGGGCACTGGTTGTTCAGGCCTGTAACCCTTAACTACTCAGGAGGCTGAGATCTGATGACTTTTGTTCAAAGCCAGCTGGGGCAGGAAAGTCTGTGAAACTATTATCCACAATTAACTTCAGAAAGGGAGCTGCGGAGCTGGGCGAAGGTGGCTGTAATCCTAGCTACTCAGGAGGCTGAAATCTGAGGATCACAGTTCAAAAACAGCCCAGGCAGGAACTTCCATGAGACTCTTCATCTCTAATTAACTTACAGAAAACTGGAAGTGGTGCTGTGGCTCAAGTGATAGAGTGCTAGCCTTGAGCTGAATGAAGAGCTCAGGGACAGCACCCAAGCCCAGAGTTCAAGCCCCACGACCGACAGAAAAAAAAAATTACCTGAAATGGAGCTGTGGCTCAAGTGGTAGAGTTCTAGCTTTAGGGGTGGGGAAAAATGTTCAGATCTTGAGTTCAAGCCCCAGGTCATTCATATATATGCACACACTAAAAACTAGAGTCTCATTTACGTTTGTGGGATTAATCTTTGAGTATTGTGTGGTAAAAGACCATAAACTAATTGTAAATAAGGCACCTGTTACTCGAAATATGTTTTACCATAACCTTGATTATTAATGTGAGCGGAGCCCACTGTATTAAAAGAGAGATTAGAGCAATCTCAAAACAGCTCTGTGTGGAAAAGAACCAAGTGAATGTGGAATCAGAAGTACCTGACAAGTGGACAAGTGTGTGGTCTACTAAATGTAATGACTTCCATTGGACTAGTTCTAGTCTAATTCAGATTACTGGATTCCTCTGAGCATTGGTTTTCCCAATGGTTGTTTTGAAGGAGAAATTTGATCATGTACATAGAGACTTTCTCTTTCTTGTGCCTGTCACACAGTAGTGCTCAGAAAGCACTAGTTCTTTTGGATCTTTTATACCCTGAGAAGTAATTTTGAAGATCCTGAATAACACAGAAGACTGAACTCAGAAATTTCTGTCTTCCAGAAGTTTGCTCATGCAGTCCTCCTGTGTTGAGTAACCTCTTGAAGCATCTTCTCTCAATATGGCCTCTGTCTCTGTCTCTCTCTCTCTCTCTCTCTCTCCTCCCCCCTACTCTGCTATGAGGCTTGAACTTGGGGCCTAGGCACCGTCCCTGAGCTCTTTTGCCCAAGGCTAGCACTCTGCTTCCAACATTCCTCAGATCTCAGCCTCCTGAGTAGCTAGAATTATAGTGTGAGCTATTGGTGCCCAGCTAGTTTTTCTTTTGAGGCAAAATTTACTTCTAGTGAAAGTGTGATTTTTCTCCCAGTGCTTTGGCTTGCTTGGGTACACTAGGCAAGTGTTCTACAACTGAGCAGAATCCTAATCTGGAAAAGATTTAGAAATTTTAACTATATATTCTTTTTTGTATGTGTTTGTGGTACTTGAGTTTGAACTAGGTGCCCTATCACTTAAGCCATGGCTCAATTTGTTTGCTTTGGTTAATTTTCAAGTCTGGTCTCCCTTTTTTGACCAGGATCATCCTATTTATAACTGCCTTTGTAGCTATAATCACAGTGAACCACCATGCCTGGCTTATTGAATGATATGGGGGTCTTGCTAACTTATGGCCCAGATCTCTGCTTCCCAGGTAGCTGGGATTATAGTCATGAGTTCACCATTCCTGGCAGTATATCTGTGTGTGTGTGTGTGGGGGGGTGTCCCCTGGGGCTTGAACTTGGGGCCTATGTGCCGCCTTTGAGCTTTTTTGCTCAAGGATAGCACCACACCATTTGAGCCACAGCTCCACATCCTGCTATTTTGGTAATTTATTGGAGATGAGAGTCTCACATGCTTTCCTACCTACGCTGGCTTTGAACTATAATCCTTAGATCTCAGCTTACTGAGTTGCTAGGATTATAGGCATGAGCCACTGGTGCATGGCAGTATACACTCTTGACAGATAGTATAGTATCAATCTTGATAGACTTGGGTAATTCAATTTCCTCTCAGTTACAGAACATTCCCATCACCATAGGAAATTTCCTTTCCCAGTTAATCCTCACTTCTATCTTAGAGGCAACTGCTCCTCTGATTTTTTTCCCACCATAGATTGGTATTACCCATACTAGAAATGTTCATGGCAAACATGTGTATGACCTATATATGTGATCCATACACATATGTATGTATATATATGTATGTATGTATATATATATATATATGTATATGTGTCATATATTTCATGGGTCACATATGCACAGTGTGTTTGAGTTTGACCCATGCTGTTGCATGTATCAGTACTTTGTTCTTTTTATTGCTGGATAGTATTCCAGTGTATAGATGTGTCACAGTTTCTTTTTAATAGTTCTTAAGTATTATGAATAAAAGTGCCATGAGAATTCTGTAGGAATACAGAATGTATATGTGAGTGAGATTTCAAGGTCATAAGAGTAGATAGATATTTTAGTTCTGTTAAAAACTTCCTAAATTAGGTCTGTCAACAAAAGAATAAGTAAAAACATTGTGGTATACTCACACCACCAGATACTATGCCATAGTTAAGATGAACTAGATGCATGTATATCAAGCAAGGCAAATTTCAAAAACATAATTGGCAGAAAACAAAGGCAAACTATAGATCGAAACATTCATACTATTTATATAAGATTTGAATAATTATGGAATGACATTTATGGAGTAACAGCATAAAAGCATGTTTGCAAAAATAGGCATTGATACCAATGCAGTGGAATCTCCCAAGCAGGTAATCAGGGATTCATAATAGGCTTTGACTTTACCTGTAAAGTTATATTTTACTCAAAATCATCTGAGGCAATTATGGTAAAATGTTAGTATTCCATAAGGCTGAGTGGTAGATACATCTTCCATGATGGCTATTAAACCTCTGTGCCTTTTTGTATTTTCTGATTGCTGTTTTGTTAGCTCCCAAGCACCTCCACTTGAGTTATTAATTTACTCCCTTCATTCTTCCTCCCTGTTTCTATAGGTGGCTGAGGCTGGGCTGGATCAGGAGGTGCTATAGCAAAGCCCTGTCCTATCTCTGTCATGGTGCCACATTTCAGAAGCAGCTCCTTTGGGGTTAGCAGAGACAGGTCCTG